CTTTTGAGTATATGCCAAATAGCTCAGAAGAAATATTTAGTAAACAAGGTCTACCTGATTTTGCTCATTTTTAAAATGAAAAGTGTTGATATGAACTTCTTATATTTACTGAAGAAAAAAACCTACACTCTCATCTTTCTCTATACATAAGTTTGGTGATGCTGGGTTTTCTTTTTAATTTTCATTGTGCAGTGGCAAAGGTTTCTGTTTTCTGTTGAGCAAAAAATCAAGCAGTCAGTACAGGTGTTGAGGGGTTTAATTCATAATTAGTTTGTGACACTTCCCCCCACCCGAATAATTTCTACTAGCACCACATGACAACACAGGGAAATCAAAGGGAATTGTATGTTAGTGAGCACATCTGGATTCTACACACTCAAGGGGCAGCACCAGCCTCTGAGCTGTTACAAAACTCCATCTGCCTTTTAATCCTCCTAAGGAAGTTAAGAGAGGACACAGGATCAGCACTGCCAGTTTTGCTCCCAATAAAGCTCAGGCATACATATGTATCATTATACGTTTGGGTATTTTTAAAATTTGAAATCTTATATACTTCAAAATATGATAGTGTAGTAATTTACATCAAAAAGCTCTTTCAACAGCAAGTACTAACAGCATTGAAATATAAATACAAGACAACGCTTTAAATCCATAACTGAAAAAGCAAGTACTTCACTGAAACTGGTTTTTAAACAAAAACCAAAACAGGAAAACCCAAAAGCCACGTGAAGTTTCTAAGCAAGCAATAAGGAATGCAATTCACAGCATATACCTCTAGTAACAGGATGCACTGTCACATATTAATATAGCATTTAAGCATAACTCTTTAATTGTTCTCATAAAGACTTAAATCTGTTTTAACAAATGCCTTGATGTTTGCATTTTCTAGTACCATCAGCATACAAAATTGATTGTAGTTTTGAAGCTGTCAATCAGAATATCAACAATGCAGGCTGTGCCTTGAAATGTGTCTGGAAACACACTCATTCTCATCCTTAGCAAAAATTCTAGAGAAGTTGATTGTGATCTGGGAGACAGCAATATTATTCCAATATTAGTAATGGAAGTCATCTGGAATATTTTTTTCAGAGGCATTTGAGGTATGGTTCTTATTCAATGTCCAGAGTTATATTCAAAGTGTTGAGAGTGCACTGTCAGGGAGTCCATCCCTTGCTTTGTAATTAAATGGCCCAACAGTCAGGCCTTTATTTAGAAATGATGCTTATGCAACACTGTGCTTACAGAAAGAGCTTCATAAATTTTGAGGCTGTAAATAAAAGAAAAAACACAAGAATAAAAAATGACACCAACTAACTTTCTAGTTAATGATACGTAGTTGTTTTAACCAAGAGCTGTATTTCTGGAACCAAACTAGACAAAGAAGAGTTTACACATACCCCTGTGTGTGTTCTGGCTTCTTTAGTGACATAACTAAGCACAAAGAAGGCTAGGCTCAGTCTGCAGCTAACTTTGAATCTGCCACATCAAATAGAGCCTAAAAGCAAAACCAGCTTGGAAATGATTGGAACTCAGATTGGAAATGATCATAAAAAGCAGGTCTGTAAAGCAATTGCTTGAAAAGCATATACGTGGAAGGGACAAAGAGCAATGGTGTGGCACAGAGCCACAGAAAGAAATCACATGCAATGCAGAAGCGCAAAGACAAAAACAAAGTGAAGATGCAAATGGAGATGTTGGGTGCAGCAAGAATAGCTTCAGTGTTTAAACACAATGTTTATTTAAGCCTCAGCAATCTTCAGTGAATACGCATGCAACAAACACTAAAATCACATCACTGTTACCATCAAAATGATCCTATACACGCTCCAGAAATAGTCTCTATTCTTGTCCTAGGGGTTCAATGTAAAATCCATTATAAGTAATAGCTGTGCTAAAGGAAGGCAGTGAGCAAAATCATTCAGAAAATGAGGCAGGACCCACTCCTGTCACCTGTTCCTGACAGCAGGAATGCAGAGAAACGGGAAGCTGAACTGAACAAAGCAACTCCACTCCACGCAGACACCGGGAGCAGCTCCTACCGCATATTAAAGCTGTCATTTTAAACTAGAGCGACCGCCTAGCTCCAGGCCGGGCACGGCCCCCGTTCTGTGTCTCGCCCGTGTTTTGACGGGCCCCTTCCTCTCTGGGGACCCGGAGCCGCCGAGCGCCGGCGGCGTTCGCTCGCTGGGGGCTCCGGGCGGGCTCCCAGCGCGACCCCGCACACGCCCCGAGCGCGGCGCGTCCCTGGGGGAGAGCGGCGGCGGCCGGGGCGCTCCGGCCTCTCTCCGCTGCGGCGGGGACGGAGGGCGCCCACACCCCCGTAACTCACCAGCTGCCCGGCGGCGCCTCCTCTCCTTCCGCCATAGCTGTTGACGTGCCCGCTCGCCCGGCCGTAAAGCGCGCTCGGGAGGTGTTGCCTCCCCGAGGCCGCTCCTCCCGGAGCCCGTCCCCTTCCCGGCTGCTGTCGCCGCCTTCCCGGCTGCGGTCCCCGCCTTCCTTCCCGCGCCGCCGGGCCGAGGGCGCGGGCCGCAAAGCGCGGAAGCCGGGCAGGGGCGGCCTCTGAGGGGGCGGGGGCGTCGCTCTGCCGGAGATTTGAATGTTTTCGGTTTTCATAAAGCTCTGCCAGATGTGGGTTTGATTATTAAGTGACTTCCCCCGCAGTGTTTAATGTGCCGCAAGCTGGACGTACTCCGCGAGTACGGAAATTCACAAGTTTCACAAGAGCTGAAAATCACCTGGTGACGGCTATTAGCAAGCCTGGGCAGAACAACACTAATGCTCTCTGTTGTGCGCGTTCCTTACCCACCTGCATCCTCAAAGGGGGAAAAAATTAGTATATTTCAATGGAAATTGACAAAAATCATTGGAGCGGGTTATACGCGGAGTAACAGCGCCGCCGTACGAGAGATTCCAGTCCTTACACTGACTGCTCTGTTTCGCCTGCACGCCTTGCCTCGGGATGTGCTGCGGCAGGCAAGGCCCAGCGGAGCGGGACGGCTCCTGCGGGAGGAGACGCGGGACAGGCACGCTTGCTCCGCTGCCCATGGGCCGGGAACGCCCATTCCAAGGCAGGCACCTCTCTGCTCCTCAGAAAAGATTACGTGAATTGCCTCAGCCAAGACAGCAGGTATTTTACAGCGTGAAACTGGGTTGAGGCAATTAAGCGAATGGTGTGAAGAACGGGGGTAACAGTTTTAACTCCTTTCCTCTTTCTCTCGCTTCTGTACTTTTCACTTAAAAAAAAAAGAAAGAAAGAAAAAAAAGTTTCAAAATCCCCAGCATGCATTTAAAGGCCTCCTTCTCTTTGAGAAGACTTTTGTGGAAGATGCAGTATCAGCTGTGGTGTATCAGTCCCCCGGCAGCGCGGCCCGGCCCCGCGCGCAGTGCGCAGGCGCGGCGGGGGCTGTGGCGGCATGGGCGACACGCTGGAGGAGCCGTGGTGGGACAGCGAGCCCGGGGCGGGCGGCACGCCAGGTACTGCTCTCCCGGGGCTCGCCCCTCACGCTGCGATTGAAGCACTTTGCCTAAGAGCCAGCCCCTCCCACCCTCCTTTCCTGCCCCCCTTCGTTTTCGTTGGGTTTTGGGTGTTTTTTCCACCTCCCCTCTCCGCCTTTCCTTTCTCTGCTTTTAATTTGCTTTTCCAGGTTTTCCCACTCTCAATCGCTTTTTTTTCCGTGTGCCTGTTTTTCCCTGCTTGCTACCGAGGGCGGGTTTGCTTGTAAGCAGAGTCTGCAGCGAGGTGATGTCCAGGCTGATCTGAGCCCTGGGATAGACGATGGAGCGGGAGATGAAAATACCCGAACCTAAGGAACAGCAGGAACCCACGTAACGAAAATACATTTACGAGAAGTTTTAAAAGCGGGGCGAGGGGAATGGGAAAACCTCTTGGTTTGAATTCAGAGCTCACCTCTCCCTTGCATTCATTTACTGTATTTTCTTCCGAAGAGTTTATTTGATGAAAGGCTTTTCCGTAATGGATGATTCTCGTGGGTCCCTTCCACCTCAGACTATCCTGTGATTGCGTTTGCCATTAGCAGCATGAACTTGCAGTTCTGTAAGGCCTAGGGAAGAGCAAATCCATAGTAGAGCCTTTGGAGGGAAAAGTGTCTGTGGTACTTGAAAATCATCTCCCATGTGCTCACTGGCGTGTGTCGCATCACCCTGGCCATGTGTTACTGGAAAAGGGCAGGAGTTAGTTCTCTCCAGCCACTGGTAGATCTGGGCAACTAGAATGAATTTTGACTTTATAGTGCCCTTTTTATTGATTTTTTAAAATTTCTTTTTTAATACAATATTGGTAAGAGTTGGGAATTACTGGGAGTCATCTGCACCTCTGCAAAGACTCCAGTTTTTTGAGCGTCTTGATAATTGGTGCTTATTTCCTGTGAAAAGGTACTTGGAGAATAGTTAGAGAGGAAGCACCATAAAAGTTGTGTGTGTGTAATAAAGAGGGCTCACAAGACCTAGTTAGGTTTCTGAGCCTTTAATTTTTATTTTTAGTCTCATGTGGGTTCCTTAAGCAGTCGCAGTTCCCGTGGTAAATGCTCTTCATTAGGAATTTTTCTTAAGAGCCTACCTGCACGTTCTGCCACCACAGCTTTCATTTGGGGTGCGTGGTTAGCTGACTGCTACAATGTTGTCAGCTTTCCTTTAGACACTGGACACAGAGCAGGACTTTGATTGTGAACTCTTGACAGGAGATGAACCATCTGACTTTGAGGTGAGACTCTGAATGACAACTTTTCCAGTTATGAAAAACTTGGGATTCTTGCAATAGCACTTTTGAGTTGCTAAAAGAATTCAGGTGGAAAATAGCCTCTGGAGGTGTCTAACCCAATCCTGTAAACTTTACTCCAAGAACATTCTTTGAGTGTGTTATGAGTAGTGATTGCAGGTGAGTGTTGTGCAAACCACGTACTCTGCTGTCTGCAGCCCACCTCTGTAAATTTGTTGGCAGGCTCCTTTTATGGAGTTTGTTGTCGGATGAAGTTGACAGAAGCTAACAGGAAACATAAAACATCTGTTACTTTTATTTTTTGTAGCTGTTTTTCACGTAAAACGGGTAAAACGAAGGGTTAATTTGTACAGCATCTTATCAATACTGTAAAATGTTTTAAAATCAGTTGGCATAAAAGAGGAAATCACGGTTCACAATGCATGATGTAGGCAGCAATACAAGAAAATAATTGCACATTAGTGAGCACCTTTGCAAGACTTGGTCAATTTCATTTCTGTGAAAAATGAAGTTTTGTTAAAAAAATATTATCCAACCTCATTTGCTGACCTATTTAAAAATAACATCTCTGCCATAACTGCAGGTGCAAAGCAGAATTCAAATGTACTTTTGAAATAATGATCTTTTGCCAGATCCTTTAAAATTAACCTTAGAATAAGCTCTGATCTACAGTATATTCATCAGAATTCAGCTCTCAAAAGTGTTTTAGATTTTACCCACTTGTAATTAGAAAAGGCTGCTTTTAAAATGAGTGTGAACATCATTCATACACTCCACCAAAAGAGTATGAAAACACAAAATAAATATAAATATATATCCTTATGTATGGATGTGTAATTCTAAATTTGCTTTTGGTCATGTCATTGGAAGTCATTATTTTAGAGTCCATATTAAAAATAAAGGTAATTATTCTCACCTTAAGATGTCAATATTTACCATACTGCAAATGATTTATAGGTGTAAAAAAAGCCCACAAAACCCGAGGCAAAAAATGCTAAAGGGATTACCCATCTTTGTATCATGTCACATGACAAAAACTAAATAATCTTGCCTAATAACATCTTCAGCAAACCTTTGAGATGAGATTTGTGGAGGGAGCTGTTGGGAATTATTCTCCACTTAGCAGCATAGTTTAGTGTTACATATGTCCCACGTCATGCAACTGCAGGACTTCCTTACCTTCCTTTTTTCCAGTTTGTGTCACAACTTTGTCCAGACTTTCATGTGATTTTTATATTGCATTCAGAATTACAAGGGAAAGGGTAAGGAATTTGGAGGAGTTTATTTCATACTGGTGAAGGACCCCAACTTTCTTCTCTTCCCTCTGTGAACAGAAACGAGCGATTCTCACAGCACTACAAATGTCCACATCTTGCCTGTAGCCAGCGTGCCTCATCTCCCAGTCAGTTTGAGGGAGAGAGATGGACTTCCATTTTTCAGAAATTCTTCCAGTTTCCTCCTTTTTGGTTGCTCTTCCTTGTCTTTCATTCTCCATGCTTTCTGTATCGCCCATAATCCCATAGGAGTGCAGTATCCCCATTTGTCAGTTTTAGATCCTTAAGTAGGATCTACCTATGAGGGGCATGACCCTCATAGGTAAAAATTAATTGTGTCGTTGCAAGACAGGAGCAAAACTCTTGTATGTCAGCAGCAAAAATAGGTGAGAAATATAATATGGGACCATAGCTGATGATTTGGCAGTGCTTGTGGGGTCCTGTGTGGGCTCTAAAGCAAAGGATGCTATTGCAGGAATTGCAGGAATTCTTTTGCCAGGGGTTCTCTTTTCTTTCTTTGTCGTGAAGGGTGCCAGTTAATATAAATTTGTAATGTGTGATTTGCAGCTATTGAGAAGCAGACTCCTCATTGTAGTGCATTCAGTGGGAGCACTGTTTGATCAGAGCTGAGGTCTGTTGCTGGATCCTTTTTTTTGCCTCGTCAATGACTTGCTGTTCCTTGTAATAGAACTTGGTCAGTACTTGAACATCTTTCTGATTAGCATGCCAAGTTGATGGCTGCTTTTTAAATCTGTGTTTCTTCACATCAATGTGCATTCATTCTGCAGGTTGCAATGGTGTACTTCTGTAAGCTGTGTTGGGATCTGAGCACACATGATATGGACTCTCAGAACTTGACAGCTGAATAAAATGGAAATCCTTTCATTTTTACTGTGGCAAAGTAATTCTTTAATGTCTTCATATTATCACAGGTGTGTCTCATAGGATGCAGCTGAAATAATTTTTAAGTAGGCTGATCTTATAAAACTTTTTAAAAGTATTTGTAGAGAATTTCTTGTGAAGCTCTTGAGGAAGGCATGGGAAGTTTCTTGTGGGTTTGCAAAAACAGTCACACAGCAGTGCTGTGTGCTGTCTCAGTGGTTAAGTTAAACTTTTAGCTGTGAAATGAAGGGGAAAAATCAGGTAACTGAATGCATCAGAATCTCTCCTTGCTTCAGCAAAAGGATTGCAGTTCTGGCTATGGCACTGTGATCACCACCAGCTTTTGCTGTATTTAGGAATTAGGATTTGGCAGTTCTTAAAGAAACACCTATGTGTAAGGAGTTTTCCCATGTATTGTCAGTTGAGCCATTTAGGCTGTTGGAATGCGCTCTGTTGGGGAAGAAGAATGAGTGAGACATTAATACCAGAGAAATAAATTAATTTTTATATTTTAAAGCATTAATTGCTGTTAGTTGGTATTACAGGATTCTTGTGGGGGGGTTCCTTGCTGTAGTAGTACTTTGTTAGTCTTTCTTAACATTCTGTAGAACAGTGAGACATTTTCTTGCAGAGCAACAATTGCTATTCTTCAGAAAATTGGAAACAACAAGCATGGAGTCTCTTCTGATGTTTTGGTTTGTGGTTTTTGTTTGAGGGTTTTTTTGTGTGTGCTTGTGTGTATTGGCTGAAGGGAAACCTTGAATTTTAAGTGTTTTAAAGAAGTTATGCTTTAAGAAAAGCAAAAAGGCAAATTCTCTCATGTATGAACTAGAATTTCTTGTGCAAAAAGTTCAGTTAAAAAAACCCCAAACCTTCACTGGGAGCAATGAATCTGGTTACATATTTTAAGTGAATGTGAGGAGTTGTAAGGAAGGGCAAAATTGTGGAGGAATGCAAGAATAAAGTTGCACTTCTGTGTAAGCCACAACTTACTGTTAAGCCTGATACTAATTTTGATCAGTTCTAAAATACTGTTTAAGTGAACTGAAATCTAAATACTGTAGTCCAAGTGGTGAAAGTTTATATAGCTGATGCAAACAATATCCATCTTGATTCTCACATCTGTTTTCCTGACATAACATCTGCATGAATTGAGTGAAGATAATCATGCTAGTGGGGAGGATGCTACTTATCTTTATATCATACTTTTAAAGTGATGCTTGGCACAGCAAGGAGCTCTGCATTTCTCTAAATTCAGTGTGTTATACAAGAGCAGATTTTTCCATGCCTTTCTTCATTCCACCCTTAATGTTGAACTTAGGATATCCATACTGAGACACTTGGCTAGACCAGTTTTGAAAACATGACACCTTCTGCAAGCCCTCTTCATGTGATTTGACCATGTTTTTGTAAATCTGCTGAGATAACCTTACTGTTGTTATTTGTAGAACATGTCAGAACGGAATTTATCATAGAAACTTATTTGTGTCTTGTGTTCCTGTACTGTGAGTGGCAAAATCTGGAAATGCATCATAAAAATGGTCCCTGCAGACATGCAGTTAACTTTGCTCCTAAGAGTTTGGCTGTCTTGATGTCCTGTGATTGGTGACCATTGATGTGCTGACCATGTGGATGGTTTCTGATTTTTCTCCAGTCGCAACAACTGCTGCTGAGATTCAGATGGCTTAAATCCATTCTATTGTCATAGATCACAGAAAAGTATTTACCTTCTCCCTCCACTTTGAAGGCAGGCTTTAGACACCGTCCTTATAATGCGTATCTTTCCAGAAGGACTGTCTTGGAGTGGCTTGTTGAGATGTCCAGCAGGAATTTTGACAGGTGCTTTGGTTGTGCTTGCAGGCTTTGGTTTGGGGATCCGAGTTGGAATTGAACGATGGAACGTATTGGTAATCTGAAAATAAACCAAGAAAATAAATCATGCATTAGGGAGGAGAATCAAGCAGTGTTTTCAGCTTTGTAGTGCTTTTTTCAATTTGTAAACCTGAATGCACTGCTTTTAGAACTGTTTGTTTAAACTTCCTTTATCTTGTTTGTAATGAGACAGAAGCTTTGTATTTAACTTACCCACTTGATTGGGGAATATCAAAGAATCTCATTGGATTGAAACTCAGAGTATAAATAAGAGGGGTTTCCTGTTTGTCAGCTGACAACCCTAGGTGCTGGGTGAGTGATGCAGTGGAAAGGATTGAGCTGGGTGAGTTCTCTGGTGGATAATCAAAGAACTTCCTCATGCAGAAGCAAATCTTGATTCAGTCTTGAGCAGAGGACAATACCTGGGGCATACTTTACTGTGAGAGATCATTCTTTGACAGTGACCAGTGTACACAAAATTAATGTATTTGTGAGACAGCTCCCCCTCCAGAATGATCGTAGTCATATTTAATGGCAAAAAATGTAAATATGCCCAGAAAAGTTATTATGTGCATGGAAAAGGGGTGAAGTACTATAAAGGCAAGAAATTTGTTTGAAAAGTACCATTATCTGAAATCAGGATTATTAAACATACTGTAGTCATGAGAAAAACTTTTTGCATCACAAGCATTTTTATATAACTTTTTCAGTCATGTTAAGGGTAAAAAAACTTTACTCTTTTTTTTTTTTAAAGACAACAAAATCTATAAAGGCAAGAAATTTGTTTGAAAAGTACCATTATCTGAAATCAGGATTATTAAACATACTGTAGTCATGAGAAAAACTTTTTGCATCACAAGCATTTTTATATAACTTTTTCAGTCATGCTAAGGGTAAAAGAACTTCACTTAATAGTTTTTTGTTTGCTTTTTTTTTTAAAGACAACAAAATGGAAATTGTGTTCAAATGAGGACAGTAGAAAATTGGAATTCTGGTGACTTAATTATGAGTAAGAATGAGCTAGATCAAAACTCTAGTGGCTGTAATGATCTGGTGGGGCAAGTTAAAAAAAATGAAAATAATCACAAATCAAAAGCTTGTCATTTACCTGTAGATAATTATGTATGGCAGGGGTTTGCAATAGTATAAAGCTGAGCCAACATCAGATCATTGCATGTGTTCAGTGTGGAGGAATTTGGGGAAAGTTTGTACATCACAGATGTGCTTAATGGATCATGAGGAAGGAAAAAAATCAGCCTGGGCTTAATTAAAGTTTGATAACAAAGAGATAAAATAGTAACAGTCTCCCAGAACAGTGTGATACGTTTCTAGGAGTTCTGAAGGAGATGATTTTTAAAATTGCAGAATCTTTGTCAGTGATGTGCAATCCACCACTGGAATTGTTGGTGATGCTAGAGGGGCGCAATGCTGCTTTAGAGTGAAGATTCATGAATGTAACTGCTGAACTGATCAAAGTGTAGAAATGTCAGTTAAGTAATAAGTTTAGTTACTGATTTTGTGAAGACATCCACATTTCTTGTCAGGGATAATATTCAGGTCTGTTAGATATTGCTATATAGGTACGTGCTATTGGATTGTTTAATGATGAGACCCGTGTGGGAGGGAAAGACCTAGGTAAGTTTTTAAAAAATCCCTTGATAGTGGTCTCTAACAAAAGAATCTTGTGCAAGCAGATTTTGTGGCAAACTGTGGAAAAACAAGGAAAATTTTCAAGATTAATAAGCGACAAGTGGATAGGTAGCAGAGCAGTGACCTAGTTTTTAATAGTATAGTGAAGATAGGATCTGAATCTCACACCTCTGATACTGAACATATTCATAAACTGCACAGGAAGACAGTGCTGAAATGATAATATTTGCATATGTTATACCAGGGAGCATATTAGAAGCAAGAGCCGACAGTAACTCATGTTAGTGAGTAAAAAATGTGTGTCAGTTCAGTGTTAACAATTGAAAAATAATATATGTAGGAAAAACTAGTTCATGTACAGTAGTGACATTTATTGTCAGTCAGAACACGGGTCTTGGAATCCCTGTAAATTGTCCTCATTGCTCAGGAACTGGCAGTTGTTAAAAAGGTAACAGACAAGTTAGGAATTACTAGGAAAAGAACAGAAGAAAACAAATCCCATCATTTTTTAGTGTGTGAATCCAAACCATCCTACATTGTGAATGTTTTGCTGGGTTTTGTCCGAACAGCTCAAGAAAGGGTATGCCAAAATGCCAAAAAGGTGGCAAAGACTATCAATTACGAAATTACTTCTGAGTGAAGATTAATAACATATGTTAAACCTCTTCAAGATTGGAAAATAGATAGTGGTGAGAAAAATGAACAGCAGAAATGTAGCATTATGGTGAATAGGGCAATTTTGTAGTATGCTTGAGGGGGCATCCACTGAGGGTGGATTAAAGGTATGTGAAAAGCATTTTCCCTTGTCAATGAGCAATGAAACTCACTGGGACAGACAATTTTTGAGGTGATGATATAAATAGGTTTGGAGAGAATTTGTACTGATTCGGGGCATCGATCAAGGACTGCTAAACACAAAGATGTGTGAAGATTCCAGCCGTAAGGTGCAGGCTGCCAAAGGCTGGATTTTCTACTCTGTGTGCCTGTACTTAACGTTCACAGGCATTTAACACTGGTCACTACCAAAGAGGAGATACGTAGTCTGAGTGTCTAAAACCTCTTTCGTGCTTTTATTTTTAAAATCAGGATGTTTCAGTTTGTAGCACTTGAAATTTTTTCAATGCATTGAGAAAGGAAAGAGTTTGGCTTTGAAAGTGAGGAAGGAAATAGGAGATGCATTTTTCTTTCCCTCTGTTCCTTCAAGATTTTACCTCTAGGTGGCAGCGAAGATTTCCTTTTGTATTGCATCGTAGTATTTCACTTAAACCCGACTAAAACTCTTCGTTAAATGCTGAATAAACAAATCAACATGCATTTTCATAGTAGGCTGGGATTTTAGCATTCATATTATTAGTAGGAAAGGAAGCAAAAAAAAAGAATTAACTCTTTGCCCCCAAACCAAAAAGCATTTTGCTTCAATTACTGAAGGTGATGTGTTAAGGAACCGATGTTGGAGGGGATAATTGCATTACTGCTATGTGGCTTTCCATGAGTACTGAGTTGGAAGAGTTGGCCTCTGACCATGTGGCATAGCCTGGTAGATGAGGCATGGTACTGAGAATAAAATGTTTGGGTGGGCTGTTACTGGCAGTGCTACTGCCTGATGTAATTATAACAATGATAGAAAACGTGTCTGTTTCCCAACTAGAGAAAGAATTACATTAGCCTTCATTTGCTAATGTAATTAGCAAAATGCATCAAGTATATTTAGGTGAACAGATAAAAATATTTATGTGAAGTCTTGCATGTTAAAGTGAGATTGTATCTCTAAGAGTTGTGTTGGTTTTTTTGGTTCAGGGTCTTTTTGAAAAGTGTTCCAGTTCAGAGATTCCTTAGGTTACAGAGTGGTTGGAGTATTGTCTGGAGTGATTGATCAGCCATGTTAGTACTTCAGGAAGGTATTCATAGGCCCAGATTTTTACAGGTTTTGTGCATCTGACTCTGGTATTCAGGCTGTAAGCTTTTATTGAATTAATGAAAAGTTAGGTGTTGAAATATCCCTGTGCTCTGGCCTACAGTTTGCACCAGTGTCTAGCTCATTAAAACCACCATTGACAATAGGTGTTCTGAGCCATCAGATTCCATTTCAAACACTTCTTTTCTTTATGATTCAAAACTATGTGTTTTGCAGTTCTGAATTGACAATATTGAATACATCTACATTTTTATCATTTAGTGCCTGCATTATAACTGATGGAGACTTGTCAAGGTTTGATCTGCTTTCAGGGTTTGTACTGCTCTCTTTTGCTTGTGTCATGTTTGATTTTAGCCACAGTAACTGACTTGCTCTAACTCCTGGCATAGGCTCAAACTTGAGGATAACAGTTGTATTATGGGGCTGTTTTTTCCTATGCAAATAAGCATCTGAACTTGCACTTCAGTGATTGTACCAATCTAACTTCTGATCAAGGCAAGGATTTGACAAATGCCCATCTAGTTCTCTTCCTCCTCATACTGCACTTAAAAATTGGTTTATTTTTCATCATTTGTAATACAAATTCTAGAGAGGAAGGAATGAATAATTTAAGGAAAACACTTACTGACACTTAGCTTTTTGAATTCAATTACACCTGTACCTAGATCAAGGCCTAAACTTTATTTATTCTCTAAAACTTGTACTTGATAAATTACAAATCTCAGATAAGAGTTTTAAACAGAACATTTTGGGTCGCTTGACAAGATCAGTGCTTAAGCTGCTGTAAGATGTATGCATAAGGAGGGAATGGTACTATGTGGGAGTTGTCTGGAAAGCGCTTGGAAGTAACCAATATAAAATTCTGCCATGGTTTACTTGTATGTGTGCTGAAAATCCTTGTGCAATACTCCTAGGTCCTTCCCTGCTGCTTAGTGTAGAGGCATGTGAGCAGATACATTGGCCATAGCAGGCTTCTCTCTCCAGATGTCTGGTTTGGTTTTTAGACAGACCTGAATGACTAAAAACCCCTTATATATCGATTTTGGTGGGCCTTTTCAATTGGATTTTTAACTATGTATGGGAAATCTGTGTGCACACCATTAATTACTTCAGTTCTCTTCAAATGTATGCATCCTTTCTACCCACTCATTTTCTCCTTCAAGATGAATGTTTTTAGTCTTTCTCATCCTTTTTTGAACTCTCATTTGTATTCTGAATTTGCTGGCTTTGTGTTCATCATTGCTGTTTAGCTAGGTCTCTTGAGTTCCCATCTGTAGGCCACTTTTTATATCTGCTATCTTTCTAAGTCAGAGAAGAGAAGAGGAAAAAAAGACGTGTTTGTTTTTCAAAAAACAAGCTGACCTGCCTCTCGTGGTCTGGAGATCCCTTGTGAGTTCCCATTAATGCTCTTGAAACCCCCCCAGAAACAAAATGTTGCCCAGGAGTGACCTGTCTGAGTAGTTAGGCAGTTTTCC